CAGCTTGGGAAAAAAAAACCCACAAGCAAATAACAACCACCTCAAGGCAAATAATTCTATTTTCTGTAAGGTCCAAGTATTGTGTTTCAGTGTTGTTGGAGGTGAAAAGATGTGGGTTTTTTTCCAGGGAATTCTTTCCTGGGTTAGTTCAGGGAGAGGTCACATCATCTTGGAGCTGGAGAGACTGTTTTTCCGCCATCCCAAAACCTGGCATCCATGGACAGTGCTCTGAAATCAGGTTGCTGGAAGGTGAGATCCCAGCAGGGCAGGTCTGCTGCCACCCTCATGCCCTGTCTGTACCTTTGCATCCTGCTTTGTTTTATTTCACCTTGAAAGAGGGATGAGTGTGACCCATTAAAATGAAGCCAAGGGGACAGTGCCAGTGGGCAGGACAGCCACGTCCCCAAACCCAGGTGCTCACCTGGGTGTTGTTTAATTTATTAGGGACACAGCCTCCATTCCTGCCTGTTCGCTTCTTTTTCCAGGTCACCAGTGAGCAGCACAGCCAGTTCTCCTTCAGAGCTTGTGGGTCACTCCCTGCATTGTCAGAATTCACCCTCAGTTCCTGCTTCCTGCTCCTGTGTTGCCCTTGAGAGCTCCTCTCTCCAGAGGCACGGAGATTTCTCAGGCTGGGGCATGACCCTCTGCCTCTCTAAAGTGCTGGAGAGAATTTCCTTAAAAAACAAAATGGGAAAAGCAGGGTTCATTGGAGGCAAATGAGCTGAAACTTTCTTTCAAATACAGCAGGCAAAAGCCCTGGACAACCTGTCCAAGTGCAGTGTGGTAGAGAGACCCTCTCACTCCAGCCCTTCCATGGGTGACTGAAGCCCAAATGTTGGTTATGAGCATTCCCAAAGGCTGGATAGATCCCAATCTAGCTCAGGATAATGTATCTCATAAAAAGAAAGCTTTCATGGGAGATGCTGTATAAGGAGCAGAGGGTCTCAAGCATCTGGGGCACTTAAAGGATTCATCAGCAGGTTCCCTGGGACACATGGTCCATTGCCCCTCTGCCAGCTGCAGTTTCTCATCCTGGATTTGGACGGGCCCAGGGTCACATTGCTCTACACAGAGCAGTGAGCTGGGCTTTGTGGGACCTCTGTGCCCTGTGGGTTGACGTGAAGACAGACCAGAGTGGGCAGTGACCATGTCACCTACACATGTGCACAGCTCGAGGAGTACACTGCCAAAATCAGGACTCAGCACCATGGTGGTGACAGCTGGAGTCAGTTCTACCAAACCACCAGGATCCCATCCTGTATCCAATGTGATCAGTGGCATCTCCCCTTGCATGTGCACTTTTGGACTTGAAGTCACCATGGTATATTTTGCAGATGGATGTGACTCTTCCCAACCCTGAATACTACCTTGATGAGACCCTGGCAGGGGCTTCCAAACTTTCCCAATGGTCTGTTGATGCTTGAGGAGATAGAAGAAGACTCCCACAGCCAAGGTCACGTTCCTCCAGCCACTCACAGTGCACTGTATCAGCTACCTCCAGTATCACAGAGCTCCCCATTTCATTTCCCCCACTCCTATGTGCAATGCCGCACCAGCATCAGTCCAGCACATCCCTCTCCTCTCCAATCACCATCCCTGGAGAGATTTAAAAACCGTGTAGGTGAGGCACCTGGGGACATGGGTTAGTGGTGGGCTTCGCAGTGTTGTGGGAACGGTTGGACTCGATGATCTTGGAGATCTTGTCCAACCTTAATGATCCTGTGATTCTGTAACACAGGCACTGGATGTGAACGCAGCGTCTGGACGTTGAGCAGCATCTCCCTCTGGTGGTAAAGGAACAAATAGTTTTGGGGAGAAACGTCCTGAAGAGTGACTTCTGTCTGACAGCACTGGGGAAAATCTGGATGTGCGCCAGGTCATAGAGACATCTTCAGTTCCATCCCCCAAAAGATGAGAAGGGTGGGAAGGAGTATCTGGAGCTGTGACTTGTTGCTGGAGTCCTCCTGCTCCAAAGATGGCTTTAGACTTCACTAAAGGGTAGGTTTAGAGAGGATATTAGGAAGAAATTCTTGGCTGTGAGGGTGGTGAGGCACTGGCACACGCTGCTCACAGAAGCTGTGAGTGCCCCATCCCTGGAAGTGTTCAAGGCCAGGCTGGATGGGGCTTGAGCAACCTGGTCTAATGGAAGGTGTCCCTGCCCATAGCAGGGGCTTGGAACAAGATGATCTTTAAGGTCTCGTCTCTTCCAAACCATTCCATGTTCTGTGATTAAATACAGGTTATTTCTATAGGTAGAGACCTGTGGCTCAGTGCTGGGATTATACCCAGCACAGAGGACTTGGACCCTAGGTGCAACAGAGCTCTCATGCAGGCTAGAAGCATTTAAGGACAGATAATCCATATTATCCCACCTGATAATATCACATTGCTCCCAAGAAGAAGGTGAAGGGGAACACAGCAGAATCTCACCAGTGATCATCTACCATCAATAGGACGCAAAACCATGGGAAGATGGCCCCCACACCTACACGCCCATCCCTACACCAGCTATCATGCCCACTCCAGTGCTGTCCTGAGATTTCTTTCTCTCTTGGTTATTCCTTGACCCATCTAGGATTTCCACAACCACTTCCCCCAGGGTCAGAGGTATCAGCTCATGGTGCACCTCTGCATCATGGATGTGGTCTTAGAAATCAGTTCTCAGCTATACTGACTTCTGTACTCAAAAATATTCTCTATTTCTCAATGCTGACTGTATTTTCTTTCCTAACTTCTCCACGGGATAGTTTCACACCAATATAACCTTTTCCTAATATTCAGCTTAAACCTCCCCTGATGTAGCTTTATGCCATTCCCTTGAGTCCTATCACTGGTCACCAAAGAGAAGAGTGGTGCCTGCCTTCTGCTTCCCTTCCTGAGGATAGGGCACAACCCCTTTCATGGCAACCTCCAACATAAAGTAAAGGCTCTGGATCAGGAAGAAAATGATCCTGATGAAAAAGAGAAAGGACTTTTTGTCCTAGACTTGATCCTGGTTTGGGGATGGGATGAGCAGGCATCACTGCCTGGTTCAGCATCACTCACCCTGCTCTGGGTCAGAGGGAGCTGCTACCAGCCATCCCCCAGTGAACCTGGACTCCCACGCCAATGAGAGGGGACGGAATAGGGAGGACATAACCAATTTTTCCTCCTGCCATTCACTCTCTGGCACACCAATTTGGCCAGTAAAGGTCTGCATCCCCATCTCAAACAGCTTCCAACATCCCAGTTTACCACCTCTGCTCCTGAGCTGCTACTTGCCCTCAGAAACCAAACTGCCCCAACCCACTGCCATCGGCATGTCACATCGGTGTGCCCAGGTCCCTTCTTCATCCTCTTGCTGGAAATCCCAACAGGAAACTCATCATCCTGCAGCTGCAGGAGCAGAGTTGGAAGAGAGACCCTTCCACACTTATGTGCACCCCCAACATGAGACACAAACACAGCAAAGGTTGGTTTTTATTTTTTTAAGCATTATTATATATTATCAAAGGTAGAAACCCAAACTAGATAAAAATTCCTGCAATGCCTTGGCAGCACTGCTGCCTTTTGTGTGATGCATATAGGGAGGAAGAGTCTGTAAAAGCTGCAACTGCTTCCTCCCTCCAGAGTACAGCCACAGCACTGGGAGCTGAGGTCCATATGGAGGCAGAGAGCCTTCAATACATTGGAATGTGGCTTCACTCCATAACCAGCACCAACTGGGTTTTCAGTGCCCAGAAGAAACATCTGGCTGGGTCAACCCTGAGTAGTGAATGCATCTATTAATACTTCATCACACGCCTGTATTCTTTCTGCTGCCTTTCCTGCCCTGTGGTACCACTGGAGTGCTGCCCACAGCGGGAAAGCAGCTGGAGGACACAGCCAGATGTGCATCAATTGGCAACCATGAGCTTGCTGGTGAACCCAGCTGACCACACCTCAATTAACACGCCAGGGCATGTCCTGGGCACAAATCCATGCCCAACCAGCATGGTGGGAATCATAGGCTGTTTCTGAGACCACGGTACTGAGGCTTTCAGTTCCTGACATTAAAAAAATAAACCCTGTCTGCAATGGGGATTTTCTAGTGGCAGTAGGACTGGTTCCAGATTTGGCTTGAGGCTAAATTAAGAAGGGAGCATCCAGGCAGATGTGGATTATAACGTGGTAACTTAGTGTAGTGGAAGGTGTCCCAGCCCATGGCAGGAGGTTGGGACTGGATGAACTTTAAGGTCCCTTCCAACCCAAACCATTCTGTGATTCTGTGATCTGCAGCTGGGTGGAAAGAGGCAAGGAGGAGGCTGGGCAGAAAAGGGCACTTGAGGAAATAGACAGTGGGCAAGTAGCAGGACATGGCTTTTGGCTATAAATCAGAATCCTGAGCTTGTCTTCTGCAGTGTGAAGAGTTATCCTATGCAACTCACAAAAATGGGCGTTTTAAAGGTCCCAAGATGAACCCAGTGGGGGAGAAATAAATCAAGCACTGCTGAGCCTTACTTGAGGGCTTACTTTGCCCAGAAGAAAGGCTATCCAAGACTAAAACTCATAATTTTTCAGTTTTAGGCACTTATTTGTCCTGAGAAGACTCCTGCTTTGGCCAGCATTGCAGTCCTGGGAGACAACAGCCAAATCTCCACTCTGGAACAGGCCAGCAGCTTGTACAGGCACTGGTTAAAGGACACTTCATGACATGGTCACAAATACACCAAAGGCAGCACACTCTGGCTGCCTGGCAGGACTGTGACATAAATACATTCCATAAATACCTAAACCTGGACTTTCAGGGCTTATTAAGACCTTTGAAGTTCTCCAGGTAGAAGATGCACCAGGAGGGAAGGTGATGTCCTGGTGATGGAGGGGCAGGGGCACTGTGGGGGCAGTCTTCACCCTACCACCTCCTGCTGTGCCCTACTGATGAGACAGTCACCCCAATACTGACCCAAGGTGACAGTGCAGCCATTTACAGTTTACCCTGGCAACACAGATAGGTCCTTCCCCTCTCCCAGCTTCCCCAGTCCTCACTGTGGGCATCTAGGGTCAGCCTTGGGGGTGGAGGTGAAGCATGGTGACCTCAGCTTGCTCCTCATGACAGGCCCCTGCATGCCACAAGGGTGGGTGTCCCAAATGTGATGCCACCCCATGAGGGCACTGTCTGTTCCTGTGAGCTCTGAGCCCTCTTTGAGGGGTCCTGCCACCCCACAGCTGCCTGTGTTGCCGAGGGAAGAGCTTCTCTGCAGATGCCTGTAGGCACAAGCGCCCAGGATCGGGCTGATACTTGCCATCCCGAGGGATTCTCCTCCTCCTCCTTCTCCCAGGCAGCCTGGAGAAGGCAGAGCTTTGCTATCCCTTTGCACCAGGGCCATGCATGTCACTGTTTCTGTCCCTGTCCCAGGTGAGGTGAGGCCTCCTGTGCTCACGCTGAAATATACAGAGGAGCCTTCAGCTGAATCCGGGGAGAAGCTGTTGGGATGGGATACAGTTGGGGGAAAAACAGGCTCGTGCCCTGCTTCATCCTCCTGTGCCATTCCCGCAGAGCTGGTGCTGGGTTTGATGCCTCCTCCATTCCTCAGTGGCAAACCAGATTCAACCCCCTGAGGACAGATTTCCCTCATGGGGAGGGAAAGGTTTGCCCCAGGCTCAACATCAGCAGGTTTTCCCATTATCCATCCTCCAGGATAAACCTCTCCCACACCACCATCTCCAAAAGCTGCACTGATGACAGACAGATCTCCTGTCTTCAAGGCCAGCTTTACCAGCAGCCAGTGGTGATGGTTTGTCCAGCTGTCCTCCAAACACCCTTTGGATTGCAGGAGTGATGAGCTGTTCCCATTTTTGGGATCTGTCTTGGTCCCTTCCTCTCCCAAGGACTCTTTATCTCCTGAAATTCCTGAATTCTGGTCAGACTGGGAGCTTTCTCCGGAGATATCATCATCATCGGCTGCAGCACTGCAGGTTGTCTCCAGGAATCCCTGCCAGATCTCTGTGGACTTGGGATGGAGCAGGCTGTAATAAACCACCAGAGCTGTGGCACCTGGAAAAGAGCAGAAAGGTATCAAGGGATGAGTCCCAGTGGTGTTTGGGTGAGGTGTGGAGGAGAGGCCAAACCTTGCTCCACCTCCTTTGCAGAGACGCCGCTGGGCATCAGGTTCCTTTCTACTTCTATCCTAAACTCACCCAAGGCCAGAGAAATTGCTCCTTTTCTAGCTCTGTTCTTGAACATGGCTAATCTGACTGTGGTTGGTGTGGGGAGATGCACAAAGCCCAGCACATGTGGGTTTTATAGCTTCCTTCTGTCCCCATCCCACTGGGAAAATGTGAGCCTGGTTGGCACAAAGATGCTCTGAGGGCTGGAGCAGCTCTGCTCTGGAGACAGGCTGAGAGAGTTGGGTGTATTCAGCCTGAAGAAGAGAAGGCTCCAAGGAAATATTAGAGCCACTTCCAGTGCCTAAAGGGGCTCCAAGATTGCTGAAGGACTTTGGAGCCTGGAGGGACAGGACAAGGGGGAATGGCTGTAAACTGAAAGCTGGAAGAAATAAAGCAAATAGTCTGATGTAACTAACATAACAAAAAATGCTCACTTAATCCAAACATGCAATCCAGGCTGTAAAACCCATGGATCTTACCTATTACAGATGCTGACATGATAGCCCCAGTCACACACAGGCTGTTCCTCAGCTCTGCCTGCAGGAACCGAGTGGCAAGTAGCAGCAGGAGTGTGTTCTCCATCAGCATTATCTGCAGAGCAGAGGGAAGAGAGTTGCCACTTTTATCCTTCTGGTGGCTTTCAGTATGCTTTCAATGACAGAAAACACTTGGTTTCTAGATTTTCATAGATACATAGAATCACAGAATGGGTTGGGTTGGAAGAGACTTTAAATCTTATCTCGTTCCAACCCCCTGCCATGGGCAACGACACCTTCCGCTAGACCAGGTTGCTCAAAGCTCCATCCAACCTGGCCCTGAACACTTTTCCTGTTTTATTTTGCACCTAACTTGTCACTTAAAAGTTGCTGAATTTCTGCAAGGTCTCCCCTTTTTGTACCATGAAAAATAACTCCGACATTGTATAGCTGCCCCTAAGGAAGCAAAGCCAGTGAGGAAGGTGCATTCACCTAGGTGTCCATGTGGCTTTGTCTGGACACAGTAAACACTGGATTTTTATCAAGTGGTTATGTGAGACAGGAGAATGGAGAGTCTGAAGCTATTGCTTCTCCCCAGCAGCTGCATTCATATGGAATACCACATGTCCTGAGTACTTACTGCATAAAATACAGCCACTCTGGTCTTGGAGGGACCAGGACGGACATTGATATAGCAGAAGATGTACACAGCTCCCACCAGGCAGTTGAACAGCCTCCAGCGGCATGGCTGCACCACAATGTCCGTCTGCTGAGCCACTAGCCAGAAGGACATGAGCAACCAGTGGACACCTGTAAGGGAAAGGGCAAAGCCATTCCTTGGGGAAGCAGAAAACAGCTCCAGCACCAGGAGTATCTCAGGGCTGACTGCAGGGTGGGATGTGGGGAAGAGGATCTCAGGTCTTACCTGCCACAGCGAAAACCCAAAAGGAATAGAACCTGGCAAAGAGCACCAGGGCCACAACCCTGGTCCCCAGCATCCCTGTCCTCCAGAGCAACAGACAGAGGATGGACGTGGCTGGTGGGCTGAGGTGACCAGGCTTCAGCAGGCAGGTGAAGTGACTGTAGGAGACCAAAGCCCAGGCGAGGGAGAGCAGGGACAGCCCTGCACTGACACCTGCATGGGGACAGGGGCAGTCAGGACTCTGAAGGATGCCCAACTGCACTCACTGTAGGGCCATATCTCAGTGCTAAAGTGCTGTTGGTAGTAACAACAATACAAGTCAGACACCCCACAGTCCTACCAATTCAATCATAGAATCATGGCATCACAGAATGGTTTGGGTTGGAAGGGTCTTTAAAGACCAACCTCCTGTAATGAGCAGGGACATCTTCACTTAGATAAGGTTGCTCAGAGCCCTGTCCAAGCTGGCCTTGAATGCTTCCAGGAATGGAAGTTGAGTATTTCAACCACTTCCTGCTAAATCTGGTCTCCTTTGCATGCTCAGCATCTGCCTATGGAAATCCTGACCACTCCCTCCCATGGGCAAATCTCTGCAGCTTCGGGACAGGTCCATCCTGGGCACTATGAGTGGACCAGAGGCAGACACCGACTGAATGTGACCTTGTGTACACCCCAATGTCCCCCTTTGCACACCTGAAAGCTCACCTTTTCTGCAAAGCAGACCCAAACCCTTAAATGCTCAGCCTTGCAGTATGATTAGGGCTCGATCATCAACAAGAACATGTGTTGAGTTCAACCCAGCCAAGGCACTGTCTTGCCATGGATATTGCCTGTACAGGGGACTGACTGTACCAGGAGAACCATGGGTGGCTCAGACTCCTCTAGGTTCAGCCACAACAGATATTTCAGCCACATTTGTCCCTGCTGCTTTGCATTGAGCCTTTCCAGTCCCTTTACAGCATCCTCCTTCATCCAGAGCCTGCCCTGTGCCCTGCCAGGTGGGCACATGCATCCCTCACCCGAATGCAACATCCCTCTACAGCTTGAAGCATCCTCCTAGAAACTCCTGGCTCACCAGGGATGAAGCCTGCTGGGTTGATGGCCACGACAATGTATGCCTGCAGCAGGAGGTGAGGCAGGGTCTGCAGCAGAGCTTCCAGGAGCCTCAGGACACACACATCCCCAAGTTGGATCAGCACCTCCCCAGCATGGGCACTGCAGCCAGGCTCTGCCATCATCCGCAAAACATCCCAGTACCTGCAAGAGTCACCATGATGGAATGTCCCCCCTGTTTTGGCAAGTTTGGAACTGCACCCAGATTGGGGGGGTTGGGTGGATCACAGGGAGCATCTCTCACCGCTTCCAGAGGCCCAGCTGCAGGAGATGGAGCACCAGGAGAGAACACCTGGGTGGATGTCCATCTGTCCTGAACCAGAGGATGCTGAGGAGCTGAGCGGCGTAGCCGGGCACCACACAGGCAATGGTCAGTCCAAACCAGCCAAGCTGCCCACAGACGAGGTAGTGGATGATGGTGCAGAGATCTGCAGAAGGGCAGAGAAGCAGCACTGAGGGATGCCACAGCCACACACACACACAACTGAGAGATGCCACCCATAATCATAGGATACTGGAATGGTTTGGGTTGGAAGTGACCTTAAAAATCATCTTGTCCCATGCCCCTGCCATGACCAGGGACACCTTCCACTAGACCAGGTTACTCTAAGCACATTCCAACCTGTCATTGAACAAT